TGAATCAAAGTTCAAAAATCCTCAATCAAGCACTGTCAACTGTATCCTGGGCATACTGAAACATTTAACAGGCACAACTGTGTAAACATCCATGACAGACTCATATGCACTCCAGTGGAAAGGTGAAAGCACCTTGCACCCTACCAGATGGATTTTATTCCCAGCCACAATCTTTTTTTTAAAAAATTACCTCTCTCTCAATAACAAATGGGATGCTTACCTTCATAAAGCTTACAGTCATCTGTTCACTGGGACAAGTTCTTACCTATTTTATCAGTAAAAACATTTGTTTGCTGTGTTAAGCTATAGCTGTAGTAGAGTGTGTTGACTGCAAAAATGGTTCTGTCAAAATGTTGCAGAATTCAAGTAACAACTGGAGTAACTACAGCTTAACAGCAAAGAGCAGTGACTGCCTGTACACCAGCTCAGACTCCACAGGCAGCACAAGCCACCACACAGCTTACACAAAACAGGTTTCTTATCTCTTTTTTATCCTACATCCGCAGTCAGGTACAATGTTACATTATGTGCCAGCAACTGATTCATTCATGGCAACTCCATTGTGTTCCATGGCTCAGTAAACAGCCACATTTCCTGCTGATGTTGGCAGGACAGTTTTCTTCAGCAAACTCAGTCTCAGGGTCACCTAGATGTGTTGAGAGTCCTGCTGGCTGGGATACTTACACTGAGAAAACTGGCTGGAAATGGCTGGCTCAGGACTTTCAGCTGCAGACTCTGGAGGGGATGAGCTGACACTTGGCTCCTGGTCTGAGTCTGGAGGATGCACTAAATACAAAAATGAGTGAAGTGTTAAGGCATTTCTTCAAAATGTACATAGGAAGTATTTAAGCTGCTAAAGGAAAACACACCTTAAATAAAACCAACTACTTGTCCAAGTGCAAAACAAGGAATTGCATTTTCTGATTGTAGAAATTACAAAGGATGTGTAGGCAAATATTTTAACCCAAAATTAACAAAACACTCTATGCTGGTGTGGTCAGAGGGGAACTGTCAGAAGAGTGAGATGGGTAAAGCAGTTGGATCATTCTATGAAGATGAAGCAGTTTCTGTCTTAAAAATTTTTAGTGTTCTTTAGTATTTGCTGAGTATTGTGTTTCTTGTTTTATTTGCACAAAGTAATGTTTTACTCTATTTGCTAAATCCACTGCCTTTAAGAAAAAGATTTCAAAATAAGGGAAACTCACCTGGTGGGAGATGCTGAGCATAATTCTCCAAGAGTAAAATTTCCAACTTTCTCTTAAGATCTTCTACAGCCCTTTTGACAACATTAAGCTTTTCATCAAGTGTTATTTTATTTATTGTCAAAGGTGAGCCTTCGTGCTTCTGCCCCTCACATAAGTCTCTCTAATAATGACAAAAGGATCAAGGGAAAGATGTAAACAGCTGCAGTTATTTAATCTCACAGATCAGATTATAATATAAAGCCCTTTTATTTATAATATAAAGTGGAAAAAGAGCTGTGATCTCCACGAATCTTACTCTTTGTAACAAAAGTTTCCTTTATAGGACTGTCACCTGAGCAAACCAATCTGAAATTTCATAGAAAATAGTGAAGGATATTCTTAATAAAAAATAAAAATACCGTGTTTTCCCCAAGAAAACCAAGAATGCAACTAATTTTTCTTTTATACATATATATCACAACTTCCTTAAGTATTCATATGAATACACAAAGTTGCTCTCTTTACTTCCTTTTTCTTCTTCTTCTAGAACCAAAACCAAAAGTTTGAAAATGTATGAGCCCCACTCCAAATTCCTGCTGGCTAACTTGCATCACTTGGCACTGCTGTTTTCAGCATCAAACCCGGCTCTGCACAATCTGAAGTGCTTTAACTGCACCTTTTGAGAGCCCTTGACGTGTTTTCCACAAGAAAACAAATACTGAATAACAAAATATTGAATAACTCTGTGAGTTTTTTAACTTGCCTACCTTTGTGTAAATACAAATTCTGGAATATAAAAATATCATGAAAAATCTTAACTTTAGATTTGACTGAGGACTGAATTTCAGCACTGCAGCTCCCACTTCATTCCAGCTCACCAATATCTTCAGAAAAAATCTAGTTCTGAATTCCATTCCCAGTCTGTGCCTCTCTCAGTACCTTTTTTCCTCTGAATTTCTTACTTTCCCTGCTGACAGCAAAGTCCATGGATTGGCACCATTGTCTTTATGAGAATGGTGCAGTGGGGACCTCAAAGGTGCTCTGTACATATTCAGCAACCCCAGACAGTGAGCTTGAGTTTCTACTCATATTCTGCCACCTCATTTCATCACTTACAGTTTGGGCTTTGATGTCTGTGAGCTGGTGAATAGTCTCTTCAATTTTCTGTTGAGCAGCTTTCTGCTGTTGTTCAATGAACATCAGTGTGTTTCTCTCCTGTCTTTCAACATATTCCTTCATGCAACAGAAATCTTTAATAATCTGGCTTTTGATCTGAGATGTATATTCCTGAAAGGCAGAAAATATGGAGATCATTGTGTGGTTAGAAAGATTCATGGAATATGAGAATTACTGCCCCATCCAATGTGCTCTTTGACTGACCCCTGCGGACCAGAAAACTTTGTTCAAAGGAATAAAATACATTTGACACTATCCTGCATTACATGCAATGAGATTTTGGGCATGGTAAGGATCATGAATATTTTATGGCCAGTGGAGTCTGCTTGACAGCTCAGAAAGTTCAATATTCCCTCTTATGATTTGTAATTTGCATCTAAGTGTACCAGAAACATTCAGGCTACTCCTGGGATAATGAGAAAAATGCAACAATGCACAATTCCAGTGGCCTTTGTGCCAGCCAAGACACAAATTAGTGCAGCTGATGCCATATATTCATTCTCATCAGTAAAAACAGAATTGTGACAGAAAGGAAGGAAACAAAAAGGCAGATTCCAGCTCTGAGCTGGAAGGCAACCCTGCAGTCAAACACATCTCCAGCCCAGAACAGTGCAAAATTTACTGTAGGTGATGATTGTACAATGTGTACCTTTGTTTTATTGAGGTCTTTCCTCAACAGGTGGATGGTCTCTGCAGTTATTTCTTGTTGCTTGGAGCTCTCCCATATCTCTTCCTCCTTTAAAGTGACACATTGGACTATTTATCTATACAAACCTCAGAGAAAGCATAACTAGGCTAAGCTGCAGAATCATAAAAACTCCCTACATGACTGACATTAGTAAGCAATGGATTGTTTGAGGAGGTGTCTGAGAGACACAATTCTAAGTAGGAATAATCACAATGAAGTCAACATCAACAATCACCAATTAATTAGATGTTCAACTACAATTGTGAACTTCAATATGCTCTAAGCTTGACTGAAAAAGATGCATTTTTCTCATCTCCTCCTCTGGGAGTCGTTTTAAGCAGAGACCTAGATCATGAATCTGTCCCATTTTGTGCCATGAAGCTGGGTGGAGCTGTAGCACTGTCTAATAACACTATGCATCCTTTCAGCAGCCTCCAATGCAATGCTGATGCAATAACCCCCAGCACAAATAGTCACTTACTACTATTGTGCATCGGCTGAATATGTACAGGAATTAGTTCTTCTCACTGAGCTATGCTGCTCTCAGTGTCAGACACCAGCACTGAGCCCCAAACACTGTGAGCCGAACCCATGTGCTCAATGTGTTGCTGTCCCGTGGGATGGAACCAGGGCTGATCCGTGGGATGGAACCCCGGCCATGGAAC